TGGTCATCATTGTTGATCAGTTGCGTTAGCCATGAGTTTGGAGTTAATGTCCATGGGGGACCAGTTCACCATAAAAGGTGTGTTTTGAGTTGTTGGGTGGTGAGCCCTCTGGATGCGCAGTTGGCTGTACTTGAGTTTCTGGGCACATACCTCCATTGAGCTTCGGTTATGAGTTCTTGCATTTATGTGACTTTATTGCAACTAATTCTTTTCATCGTGATGGGTGAGCATTGATCCAGGTTCGGGTTACTCGTGCGCCAGTCCATGAATGTGGCCTTTATCTTTAGATTCAGTTTACGGATTGTTTTGGATTCGGTGGTGCTTTAATAGCAGTGATTACTTCCTCGTTGCTGAAGTGTCATTTGCAACAAGAATCCGCCTGCCATGCAGGTCCCTTGATTGTTTGCTGTCTCCACTAATTGGCTTGGATTATGTGTTGATTGCAGGCTCTTCTTGACTACAGCGGTGGCTAGTAATGTCATTGGTTGTTGGTGCTCGATTACACTGGTGTGCTCCGCGTCTAGTCATTTGGTGTGTAGGGACTGGGCGTTGATTGGTGTGGTGTTTGGTGCGTGATGTAGTAATGTGTGGTGTACCTTGTCGCATACGTAGCATCCTTTCTTGGCTAAGCATGGCTGTGGCAGATGATTGCCCAGGCAGTTCGAGCATCGCCCCTTTTCTTTCCTTAGCTTTGATTACGTCCAGTCTCTGTGTGTGGCTGAGCTGCTTGTATTTTTTGCATCTCTAGATAGGGTGCCGTTCCTTGCAGTGGAAGCATTGCGAGTTTATGTTGGGCTTGTTTTATTAGCGGTTGACTTCCTTGTGTGCTTACCATTGTTGCTGTCCATGCAGCCTTTCTTGCTGAGTATGGACTTGACAGATGTTATTCAGAACAATTAGTGTATAGCTGTAGTTTTCCGCAACAGCTTTTGTTCGTTAATAGTGAGTTTTTTTTATTGGTCGCACATCCATACTTTGTGATTCTTGTTGCAGTAGATATGTAGGGAGTGAGATTGATTGTGATCCCAATGCCTTTTTTCTTTTTTGTTCGCCATTGATCGCTGATATATTCTTATGAATTTCTTACCGGATGTGTGGGATTGAGATTGAGCTTGTTGTTTTCTGATTTCAGTAACGTTATTTACTGTGGCTACTTGACTTAGTATAAATGATCTCAGTTGCGCGAGACGGTGATATGTGGTGGTGCTCGCCAGTGATCGTTCCCATGTTTTTTCTGTTTTGTAGTTGACATCAGTTAAGGCTACGTTCACTGTCATGGAGTTTCCTGCAGTAGCGATATCGTGTTGCATTGATACCTCCATGTCCCTTGAGGATTTTGAAATAGTTATTTCGAGGAGGTCATCCATTTCTCGTGGATCTACTGCATGTACCTTCTCTTCAGGCTTGATAATTTTGCTTGTTTGTGTCGATTCGCTTAATTCTCGACACGGCTTTCTGACATTCGCTACTGCAACAGCACAGCATGTACGTTCTTTTTGCACTACGCCCATTGTACAGTGTTCGTGATTCACACCAGTTGCTGGCCTGGTGGTTTTTGACCCCAATTCTTGAGACAATTTTGATGATTAGTGCCGTGGCATTGGTCTGCCAGATAGACTCTTTTGTCATGGCGTTCTTTGTGAAGTACTCGTGTGTTGCGCCTGATACTGGCCAGCTATTTAATATCGATTTGTGATCCATCATGAAGTTGTTGTGTGTCTCATCGATTTTGTTTTTCACTGCTAATACCTCGGGCCGGCTTATAGTTGCTCTGTCTGCATTAAGGCTGTCAATCTGTATTCGCATCGTCTCGATGCCGGCCCATTGTGATTGGGCAGTCATGATTTGTTCACCAGTCAATTTTTCTTTGTTCGCGCTGCGCGTGGTGACACTTACTCTCTATGGAAGTAGTCTTTGACTTGTAGGACGGCGATTTGTGTGAATTGAAGGCGATCTCTGTATAAATGGCGTTGACTTGTAGAACAGCAATTTGATCTTGATGATTGCTTGATTGAACTAGTAAGAGGTCGAGAGCGTCATGTGCAGCTCCTTAAATATTCTCGTACAAACTAGCTGCGCCGATGGTGCGTCGGTGGCTGTTGCTATGCCGATATTTGTCGTGACGTCAACAGGGCATAGACTCGTAAAGTTCATTTGTTATTACTTTTGGAATTATAGTAGTATATTCGAGTTTTTCTGTTATAAGCATTCTTTGAGTCCGTTAGTCAGTCGCGCGCTCATACCTTTCCCACTTTTTATTCCGCTTAAAAACTGCTGCAATCCGTAACAATTTATTTACATGTTAACTAATATCAAGCAGAAAATGCAAATATGAATGGGATGATTGTACAATATTAATAAGAATATTATGCATACAAAAGCATGAAGAGTCAGGAATAATAGCTCGATTCATACTAATTAACATGCAAATATAGTCAATCGTAAATTCATAAATATTTTGAGTTTTATTTCGAAAGAACTTTGGGTTTGAGGTATTATGTAAGCGTAAATGTCATTAGATAAGCATGAAATGTATTGAAAATACCAAGACTAATTCACGAATTTCACCCACATAATCGCTATACAAACACTAACTTTAATTTTTCTTATATACTGTCTGGGATCATTCTAAATTCCTCCTTATAATGGTGGGTGGAAGCTTGCTGGCAAGTGGAAGAGGCAATGCAATTATTCAATACTGCCTTTAATGTTTATAGTTTTTCCTTTTATTAAATATAATAAATAATGAATAGTTAATAATCTATGAATATCGAAATGAGTGTATGATAGAATGAATAGATCAGTGTTTCTTCATTGATGTTGGTGGCGATAAGTCTGTACGTGTATTCTTGATAGCTTGGAGCGTGATTCCCCTTCTTCCTTTGGGTTGAGTAGTTGTAGTGGGAGACTGTTGGTGATAGGGGCAGCAAGTTAGTGCCGTCTTAGCAGCCGGCGTGGAGTGAGCTCTAGTGTACAGAGTGGTGGGAGAACGTCCATGTGACGTCACAGCTTGTGTCCGTGAGCTCAAAGATAGTGGTGATTATTGGTGCACGTGCGTATGCTCGATGTGGGCGTAAACCGCGGTGTAGAGGTGAGATGTAAGAACGAGCGTCTGGTCGTATCTGACATGAGCTGCCGGGAACCGCTGTGTAAGGGTAAGATTTAATAACAACCGTTTGGTTGCATCTTACTTGAGTTGGCAGGACCCGCTGTAGTAGTAGTCGTAAGAACGAGAGTCGGTGTTACATACATGAGGGCGTAAACTGCGAGTGTAGATTGGCGGTCCTGTCGTGATGGGTGCTTGTTAACTAGTAAAAAGTAGTAAGGAATGAGCGTCTGTGTTGCTTACGGAGGCGTGGGTGCCAGTATAGTTGTGGCATCGCTATTAGTTCCTTAGGTTGCTTGATGTTTGCCATGGCCTCTCAATGACGATGGCAGGGTTGGATAGCGAGCCCGATGTGAAGAGTGCATGATTGGTACTAGCAAGGAGTAATCGCGACACGTGCAGCGCCTTACATATTCTTGTACAAACTGGCTGCACTGATAGCGCATCGGTGACTATGCCGCTATTTGTCGTGACGCCAATAGAGCATAGCCTTGTACGGTTCATTTGTTATTATTTCTCGGAATTATAGTCGTATTAGAGTTTTCGGCTAGAAGCATTGTTTGAGTCAGTTGGCCAATGTTTACAAAACAAATGTTCGCGCGCTCACACCTCTCCCACCTTGCATTCTGCTTAAAACTGCTGTAATCGGTAACATATACTTATAATTATTTATACGAAAAACTTAATTCTGTGTTTACAATTATTGCACTAGTATTTCTAATGTTCAATTGTCTTTATTTTAACAAATAATTCATAAACTTAAAACCAATCCAATTCAGCTTTGAATATTTTTAGCTGAAGGAAAATCCTGTGTCTCAACTATTTTCAATTAATTTTTTAAGGAAATAAAAATAACTAATCAATAACTTAATCCTTTAAAAATGTTTAAAATAGTATTTAAAAGAAAATTAATGTAATATCTTAATCAGTAACTACAGTATAAGTTATTATAATTTGTTATCATATTTAATAATGGCTTTTGGTAAGTTAAATTATATGCAAACATAATGCATAGATCTTTAGGTATCGTTCTATTTGCAAAAATTTTTTATTCTATTAATATAATTTTATCATTTTAATAATTCTAAATTTTTACTAATTTATATTAAATCATTCAAATTATGTTTACAATAAGATTATTTTTCCTTCTTTGACAAAATATTAAACCCAGAATGTGTATAATCAGATACTCAAAATATCCCGTATTGAAATCTTTGTTATTTATGTTCAAATCTGTTCGTGTCGCTAAGCGCTTAGCTCTAGTGTGGAGTTAATCAGGGGAAATATGTTATACGATTTCTTACCGTATGTGCAACTAATCTGTAAGCTTATTATATTTTTTAAAAACATCCAGTATTAACGTTTTATTTTACAAGATGTTAAAAAATATATTTTTAATATTTATTGTTATTATAATGTTGTAAAAATATATTTATGTATTTATTTTACTTTGTGTTGAAATATTCAAGTTTATTTTTGAATGAATGTGATTGAATGCATTGTGATGATTGTGTTTATTTTGTAATAAATATAATAAAGATACAAATTAAAAATATATACAAATGCATACAAGAAAAATAGAATTAGAATTATTTATCGAATATTAATTAAATAAATTAGAAAATATTGAACAAGCCAATAAACTACTTCTTTTACTACTTCTACTGCGCATGCTTTAAATTTTCGATTATCTTCTTTGACGTAATTTGTTTCCTCTTTTAGTTTCAAAGTCTATATTTTATGAAGTATAGATTGATGGGAATCTGAGAAATATTAAATTATTAACATGGCCCTTAAAGAAATTTGCAATATAAAATCATATATAAATTTAAATAATTCTGGAGAAGATGATGATTTTCTTGAAAAAATTGGATATCAGAATTTAACAAATAATATGGTTTTATCGTTACCACCATCTAACAATGTGAGTTTTTATATAATTTTACTGTTATCTACAGTGAAATTTAATACAATTTCTTTTACTTTATTTATCAAATATACTATTAAGTACTTTATTTATACCATAAATTATTGATTTTTTTTTTAATTGTAAGTTTTATGAGAAAATTTGAAAATGTTTGAATAAATTCATAATTTTGAGGTTATGTTGTTTTCAATGACTAATGTATTTTATGTTTGTACACGTTTAATATTATTTGATATTAAAAAAAATAATTTCTTAATATAACTAATTTTATATATGTAGTCAGCTAATTTCCTTGGTCAACTTGTTAGAAAAACAAATGAATCCGATAAATACTTAAAAATCCAATTTGATCATGGAACTACAACGTTAGGATTTATGTATCAAGGTGGAATTGTACTTTCAGTTGATTCTAGAGCTACAGGTGGCCAGTTTATTGGTGTGTTAGAATTTTGCATAAAAATATATAAATAATGTTAATCCTTCGAATATTCTTATTTTGTTTTATAATTAAAAATTTTAGGTTCTCAAGTAATGAAAAAAATAGTTGAAATTAACGATTATTTGTTAGGCACTTTGGCTGGTGGAGCAGCAGATTGTGTATATTGGGACCGTGTTTTAGCAAAACAGTGCCGGATGTATGAATTACGTAATAGATCTCGTATATCTGTGGCTGCAGCTAGTAAATTAATGTCTAATATGGTTTATAATTATAAAGGAATGGGTCTTAGCATTGGTAAGCCAATAGTAAAGTATTTTTATATCATGTATTTATATTTAATTTTCAATAAATATAAATGATTTTATTAATTTACAATGCACACCAAGAAACATTAAATTTAATCAAAAACATTTTTAAAATTAAAGTTAAATTTAAATATGGTATTAAACTGTAAATTAAACGTTTGTTAAAATTATTAAATATTTTGATAAGAATAGTAAACATGATTTTTAGAAAGGCAAACAATATTTTATAATTATATATAAATTTTATATTTTTATATCAATGTAAGAATTTCTTTATTATTGAATTATTGAAAATTCTATTTTAAATACAATGAAATATATATATATATATTTAAAGAATATTATATTGTATAACCAAACTTTCATTCACAACAAATTTTTTACTTTATAACTTCGTTTTTATATAGGTATGATGCTTGCCGGTTGGGATAAAAGAGGGCCAGGATTATATTACGTTGATTCAGAAGGTACACGTACACCTGGAACAGTTTTCAGTGTTGGATCTGGCTCAGTATTTGCTTATGGTGTATTAGATTCTGGATATCATTGGGAACTAACAGATCAAGAAGCTTATGAGCTAGGTAGAAGAGCTATTTATCATGCTACGCATAGAGATGCTTATTCTGGTGGAATTGTGAGAGGTAAGCTCTAAAAAATTATTAACTTATAAATTCATAACCATATACATTAAATATCATAATATTATATAGTCTATTATATATATATATATATATATATATATATATAATAGTCTATTACAGATTTTTTATTGTAACAGATACTTGTAAAAAATTTATATTTTAATTGAATTGACTTTGTGTTTTATTTACTGTATTAACATTAGCAAAGATAAGCACAAAAAAAATACAAATTTAATCTATTATTAATCATTCTTTTAATAAATCAAATATTTTTTGTATATACATTGTTTATACTTTGTAATCTATATTTAGTTACAGTTATATTTATATAAATATACTTTATATATTAATGTAATTTACAGTTTATCACATGAAATCAACTGGTTGGATACATATTAGTGATCAAGATTGCAAAGATTTACATTATACGTATACAAAAGAAAAAGTAGCTGTTGAAAACTAATTAAATCCTATTATTTATAAAGCGATTATAAACTTTTTTTTTAATAAAAATGATTTTTTTAAGTGTTAAATTTCATAGTATATTGAAGTTTTAAATAGAAATCTTAATTCTTATTTCAAAGTATAAAAATAATTTTTATGGACAGAGTTTCAAATTTAAAGCTTTAATATATTGGAAAATTATTTTTTATTATTGTATTTTAGAGAAAATATGATTTTTGACGTTATTTAAATATGTAAAGAATACAAATATTTATTCTAAAATTAATTGAATATTATTTTAATAGTAACTTTTAATAATAATTTTAATATTTCAGAAATACAGATCTAATGATAGCACGATATATAAGAATAAGTAAGAATTTGTAAATATAAGGAATTAAATTTTATAAATTAATTTATCTTATTATTAATTTTAATTTCTTGAATAAAAGGTCAATCATTTGTAACTCTTATAATGCTTTTAATATAATTCATTTAATATATAGAATTCAATATTAAATTATTTTTCCAAATAAATTATTAACTAATAGGTATTTAGATGACAAATAATAGATATTTATTTAATAGGCCATTAAATCAATATTATCTATAAATTATTATTTACAAAATAAAATAAACGAAATTAATTAATGTGGCTATTCTGATTTATAATATTGAAGGAAAATTAATAAAAATCCTTTTAAAATATTTAAAATAATATTCCATGAAAATAAATAAAAAGAATTTTGTATTTTAATAAATAATAATAAACAATTTTGTTATAACTGAATATTTTTGCACTTTACATTATTATATATTATTTAACCATGAGTATTGGTGAAATTTAATTTTAAGTGTAACAATGTAATAAAAAATGTGTATAAATTGCTCGTAACTGGATTCAGTTAATTAAATTTGATTTTATATTGTGAAAGATATTATTGTATCAACATAAATCACTCTAAAGCAAATTATATAAAATTACGTTTAAATATTTATTTAAGAAATGTATTAAACAAAATTATTTTACATATAAATTTGTTGAATTAATAATGTAAAAAAAGTAATATTCTTTTCTATTAATTATTATTAAATAGACTTACGAAATTTAACTTGGTGAATATAAATAGGGACCCTTTTTGAATTATACACACTTAGAATATAAACTTTTTGGTTTAATGTTTGCAATAAAGTCAATGTATTGTGTGTGTATGCATAGATATGTATATTTTGTATGCCAAGAACACACTGATTATATATGTTTGAAGAAATATGCGCAACAAATAATATTTTTTGAAAAAAATTTGTTTGAATTTTGATTCAATTAAGGTAATATATCGCTTTATTATTGGTACTTATTTGAAAACTTTGTAGGACTTAACCCCGATTATGTAAACATGCGCAAGTTATATTAAAACGAGCCAATACGCAATATGCCCCATTGCGCATGTACAAAATAATGTCTGTTTCTAGAGATAAATCAAGGAGCTAGATAAGTGGAAATAAATTAGATGTGATAATTTGAGTGAAATTCGTTATTTGTGTTATTGCAAATACAAAGTTAACATTTTTCATTGAATTTCTAGTGTGTGTATATTAGTATATATATTTTATGATTAAATATCTTGAATTTAAATTATCTCTCCTCTTTGAGTGGTTTTTTTAAATTAAAAAGAAAATGTCGACTGTAGAAGACGCAATACTTAAGGGCGGGCATCCTCCTGCAGGTGAGACTTTAATTTTCATGTTGATTTATCTCAATAAAACAACAATCGGACATTGAGAAATGAGATAAGATTAATAGTAATTAATAAAAAAATAATTTAAAATATTGAACTTGTTTGAATGTAGTGAAAGCTGGTGGTATGAGAATAACTCAGCATAAGAATCCTGATAAAGAACGTGAAATTAAGTCTCCAAAGGATTCTGATGATGTCAAACTTTCAACTAGGTGTATACACATTTTTTCGTTTTGTTTTTGTGTAAATTAATTTTAATTTGAACATATATATATATATATATATATATATATATATATATATATAATATAATATATATACTATAATATAAATGATATAATTTTTATTAAAAATAATTTTTTTAATTATATTTATAGTTAATTCATCCAATTTGAAATGTATTGTAACAAATTATTAAAATATTAATTTCATTATTTATTTTTAGTTTATTAACATTTATTTGAAAATTAGTAATTATTATTTAAAATATTTTATATTATTAATATTTTTATTTATTTAATTTTAGTCCTCCAAAAGCTATGATTATTAGTGGTGCTCAAACAAAAGGTCATGCTGATTTTCCTCAAGAGGCTATACAACATTATCATGATAAACCAATTCCAACTCATGATACTCGTTCAATTTATCATTCCCGCTCACTTATAATTCAACAGCCTAGAAAGTAGTTTGCACACTTTTTGTTGATCAAAACCTTATCAATTTAAATATTTTTAATTTAGTAATTATAAAAATATTTATGAAGAAATTTTCAAGATAAAAAAATATTTGCATTTATATTAACTTCAAATAGATTAAAAACCTATTATAAGATGTATATAAAATAATTTTGTTTGTTTTTATATTTTATCTTATTTTTCAAAGAATACTATACATAAATAAATTTATTAAAAAATTTCTAAAATTTGTAAGACATATAAAAAATGTATTATATTTTGATATTTGCATTTGAATAAACAAAAATATGCACATAATTATGAATATATATTATCTATTAATTATTATATTAGCAAAATTTATTATTTAAAACTTACTGCACCAATAATTTAAAATTTGTAAAGCAATAATGTAAATGTAACAAATAGAAAAATCATAAAATCGACAAAATCAATCGTTACACTAATCATTTGAATTAAATACATTACTTATTTAAATTATTAATTAAAATTTTATAATATCTTAAGAATATTTGTTATTATGCAATGTCTTCTTTTTTTCTATTTTGTTAGTAAATTTATATTTAAATTAGTATCATAAAATTATTAATATTTTAATTGTTTTTCTGATTTAGTTTTTCATTGTCCGGACGTTATAAGAAGAGTAATTTAAAGGATTACTTATATGTAGTAACGTCTTATAAAAAATATTTATTGAAACAATTAACTATTACAGAATGTAACTTACAAATAATTAAATAATTCATTTTAATAAGATTAAAATTCTGAAGTTTTTGTTAGGTAATCACAGTAAATATATCCCTATTTTTATTTTAATACTAATAATATTAATTTTTACTAATAATTAATAACTAATAATAATATTAATTAAATTAAATTAAATAATATAAATTAATAACTAATAATAATATTAATTTTTACTAATAATATTAATTTAATACTAATAATATTTCAAATTTAATGTTTAAAGTATAACTTTTAGAAGGGTTAGAACTAATAATTTGAATTTTATTTATGCATATTAACACTTTCAATTAGTGAGTGAAGTTCGATATAAAAATATCTCTACACTCTGTACATCTCCTCTATAGAAACATACATTCTATTCTTTTAATAATTATTTGTAAAATGTAATTACAAGTAAGCAAGTTAATATTCCTAAATCGATTTTGCTATGTATATAATAAGAAAAGAATAAACTTAAAAGAATTATAATTACTTATTTACAGTGTTTTAGGAAATAAATTATATTGTCTATTAATTAAAACAATATTGTATTATCCTAAATTACATGTATAAATTGTAAAAAAAACCTTTAATTGCATATATCTGGTATATATTATATTATATTATTATATTATTATATTATTTTAAAGATTTTATTGTAAAAATAATTTTAAAATAAAAATACATAAATTATTCATATATAAAAAATTATACACATTTAAAAATATTTCTATGTTTCTACTTATATTTTAATAATTGAATTTATGTTTATGTTTTAAAATTTGATTTGTTTTTAAATGAATTTCAACAACAAAAATTTTATATTTTCTTATTTTTTTTAATATTGTTTATTAATAATTATTAATTTAAGTTGATCTTATATACGACGGAGTATAAGATAATTGTATTTGAAAATAACAGAAATAAAAATAAAGAACTTTTGAAGAAAAAAATATTAATTTTTTCTTCGATTTAGAAATATTAAAACATGTTTCTCAAGTTTCAAAATATACAATAAATTTGTTAAAATTCACATTTGGTAAAAATTATAATAATATTGCAATAATTGAGAATTTTAAATCTTATTTTGTAATTATATTAAATAACTTTTTAAAACTAGCAGTATAATAAAAAATTAATTCTTCTATTGCACTAATATATATTCTATTTTATATTTAATTTATATTTTAAGCGAATTGTAAAAATTATTAATAAATTGTTGTTTAATCATATTTCTACATAAATAAAGTAATATATCATGTTCATAAAATATTTATAGTTTATCTAATAATAATAAACTTTAATTTTTACTTTTTAAACATATTTTTAGATTCTATAATAAAGAGAAAATAGTACTTTAAGTATACTTTAATTTTCAAACAAAACAAAAATTCTCCATATCTTCAAAAATTTTAAATTTGACTTGGCAACTGTTAGATTATATTTTTAAATATTTTATACATTGATGAAAGTAACAAAATCCAACCTTTAACATTTATAATAAGATGTTTCGTATTGTAAATTTAGCAATTATTAAAAAATATTTAAGAGAATATAAAAGATATAGCAATAAAAACAAAGATAATAATTAAGTAAAATAATTAAAAACCATCTAATATAATCCATATTACTTTTATATTAGAAGATTGTCTGAAATAAATTATTATTAAATATTTTATAATGTTCATAATGAATTGAATTTTCAAAATTTAATATAGAATTTCTTAGCTAATAACCGGTAAATTAATTTTTAAAAATAAGATATTAAAAATTCGGAAAGTAAAAAGGTAAACGAATTATTGAACTGCAATGATTCTGTGAGCTACAAATTCAGAGCTAATAGATCGCACCTATTGACTGCATAATGTAATCTGTCGCCGTGGTAACAAAGCTCTCATTCACATTGTAAGTAAATCCAACGCGTTCCTCATTCACGGCCGATTTATCAATAAATATAAAATATTTGAATTGTTGTCCTAAAAGTTACTTGAATATAAGAAAAGTCCTTTGCTACTTTTTTTTCTTTCTCTGTAATGAAAGCAACTATATGAAACAATTTCTATTTCTATGATCGAGAATACGACTAAAAGAATATAAATGGTACCATTACAGTTGAACATTGCAATCACTATCATCGAATAGTTACAACCGTTGGTGTTATTTTTCCGGTTGCTACGACAAATTATTTAGTATTTATCAAAATAAAATATTTTTTCAGCGTGCAACTTCCTTTCTACGAAGATTTTATCTTCTAAACTGTTTGTCAACGTGAAGAGCAAAATTTTTGTGTAAAGTGCGGGTAGGTAATGTGTGTATGAAGAAGAGCGGATAAAAAGAAAAAAACCGAATAGAATCATGTCAGGAAAAAGAATGGCCAAAAAGCTCTCAGAAATTGACACGCACATTACGAAACATTATGACATTGTTCATCGTCTCGGTAAAGGGGTAAGTTTTATAATTTATAATAATTGAAAATAATTATTGATCTGGGCTTTATATACTTACTTTAAGAAAAACAATATTTTAGATTCATTAGTTCGCTATTACTTAACTATATTAATATTCAAAAACAAAAATATTATTACCAGTTCGAAATCAATTTGTTTACTATCAACAAAAATATTAACATATTAAATCATGAAAAAAAAAATTATAAATTCTATGGAAATTTTTTAAAATGTAAAATTTAATGTACATTAAAAATAAAATTTTAAATTATTTTTATATCATTTCAAACAATATTTTCACAAATATTTATTATGCTTACGTATTTATACTGACACTTTAATCTAAAATTTATAGTACTTTTAATTGTGTAGCAATAATTTTTCATATGATTAATTTTATGTAAATAGTTAAATAGTTAAACGTTGGGGAAAATAAATATTTGAACAAATAATAATAAAAAATCGCTGTATCTGTAAAAATATTTAAAAAATGGCTGGCCTATTGTAAATTATAATTAACGAAATATAAAAATAATTATTATCAAACGAAAATATAATATTATAATTGTACATGTGAGGTGTTTTTTTTTAATTTGATTTTTTACTTTTTTTCTATTACGATCTTTATATTACCGTATTAATAAAACTTTTAAAGTCAAACAATAAACTTTATTGAAAATAAACAGAACATGAACATGAAATGTTTATTAAAATCAAAAATAAAAATACATTATTATTTTGTATAATAATAATTCTGATGTATTATATCAATAAATAATAAGTATAATAATAATTCTAATAAAAAATATAAGCAATATTTTCAATTCTTGAAATCTAAATTAAAAATTCATTGAATTAATCAAATATATGTTTAAAAATTAATATTCATATTACATATATATCTTGTAAAATAATAGGACTTATATTTAATTTTTTATAATTAATACATCATTTTATGAATTTATACCTTAATGTATATCAGAAATCGTCAGCAAAAACCTTTTTTTATTGTAATTTAACCAAGATATTTTAACTGCATTATAAATTATCATATAACTGCATTGTTTGTAAAAGACTGGTTGATAAGTCTCAGCATTCATATATTATATATTGAATTTGCACTAGTCACTAAATTTCAATATTTTTATTTTTTAAATTTAAATTTAAACGATTGCTTATTATAAAAGAATTGTATGTAAATATATCGTTGTAATATATTAATAATAAATATAATAAATAAATATATAATTGTAATATATTCATTATTATTTTTTAGGCATATGGTATCGTATGGAAAGCAATTGATAAAAGAAGAAAAGAAATAGTGGCTGTTAAAAAAATTTTTGATGCTTTTAGAAATCAAACCGATGCTCAGCGTACATTTCGAGAAATTGTCTTTCTACTATCGTTTTCTAATCATGAAAATATTATTCAACTAATTGGTTTGCATAAGGCAAATAATGATCGTGATATTTATCTTATTTTTGAATATATGGGTGAGTAAGAATGAAATAAAGTGAAAAATGTTTCCAAAATCGAGATTTAATTATGAATATAAAAGTATATTTCTTTATAAAAAGATTAATTTTGTAGAAAGTCTACATTTGTAGACTAATATAATGCATGTAAATACTATATAACAAAATAAAATAACTATGAGCATGTATGTCACAAATTGAATAATACTAGAAATACTATATTTATGGTATTAATTTAAATTTTGTTAAATAATATTGTAAATAGAATTTTCCTTTTTAATTATATATTTAATAAGATATTTGTTTTAATAACAAAATGCACAGATAAAATAATTACTTTGTAAAAAAAAATATAAAAGCTATATATGTAATTATAGCTATTTGTATATTAATAATACAATTAATATGGTTTATGGTTTTACAGAAACAGATCTTCATAATGTGATAAAACGAGGTTCCATTTTAAAAGATATTCATAAAGTTTACATTATGTACCAATTACTTAAAGCTATCAAGTATATTCATTCTGGTAATGTCATACATAGAGATTTAAAGGTGAACTTTATTACTGAATATATATATTAATATAATTAATAAAAATCATTTTTGTTAAGGTTTCTTTAATATAAATTTTATTTATTTGTTTAAAATGTTATATTTTCTAATAATGATTTAAGACTAAAAAATAAACACGATGTTCTCTTTAAAATCTATTTATTATTTTATTTATTATTACCACTTATATAAATATTAAGCAATATTGAAATAAAATAAATAATTGGTAATAATAATGAAAATGATTTAAAAATTACTATAAAATCTAACGAAATTATGATTCAAGAAAAAGAATAACATAACGAATACTAATCTATGTAAATATATTAATCTTATATGAACAGCCTTCAAATATCCTGTTAAACGTACAGTGTCACTGTAAAATAGCAGATTTCGGCTTGGCTCGTTCAATAAATCACCTGGGGGAAGGAGATGGCGAGGCTGGAAGTGATCCCATATTAACTGATTATGTCGCTACTAGATGGTATAGGGCACCAGAAATACTTATGGCGTCAAAAAGGTTATATATAATAGTAAAAACTTAGTAAAGTAGGAAAATATGTTTATACTGAATAAAGAAAGTACGTGCTAATTTTATATTTTTTAAAATAGCTTTATAGCTTTTAAAATTTTCTGGAAAGTAGCTCCAAATTAAAAATATTTATGAATTTTAATATTCTTTCATTTTCTAGTATACTATTTATTGTTATGTATTTTTATTAAGACAAAATATAGTGGGGTATTAAATTTAGAAGATATTTTTCAACTTTTATATCTTATCATTTTGGAATTTTTATATTATAATAAAAAATATATAGTTCGAATAAATAAAAATAAATCCGTTAAATAATTTAAATCTTTTTTATTTTTAGTTTTTTTTATTAATATTCTTATATCTGTAGCTTTCCATAGTAATTTTTCAATATCCTATATCAGAGTTTAATATTTAGACATACGTTAAATATTTTATATATACGTTTTTCCTTAAACATTTTATACTTTACAGTTAATAATTTTTTTGAAAAGTTTCTATCCAAAAATAAGACATTAAATGCTTTTATTATAACAATTATTATAGTTTTAGTTTTTGTATGCCCACCTCTGATGTTTATAATGATAACATAAAAATAAATAAATTAAAAAATTACTATTAAATTTTCCAAACATAGTGTTTCATTTACAAATTATAATCAAATTATAAACTGTTTTAAATTAATAATTATTTTTAATTATTTTCTTTTAAAGACATTTTTAATTAGGTGTAAAAAGTTAGATCGTTTACATTTTTACTTGATATCAATGGTTTTTAATTTTCAATTAAAAATATATAGTTATGACTTATTTAGGTATAGTAGCATTGCTAAACAATAAATTATTTATGTAATGTTAATGAATGAATTTTTTCTTATTTTAGTTGTAGCTTCAAATATATATAATTCTGACTTTGAAAATTTATATAGTAACTATTTATTGCTTTTTTATATTATTAGAATATTTAGACTTTTCTTATTTAGAAGTTTAGAACATTTCCGTGAACTACAATTTCATATAAAATTTATTATATAATTATTTTAAAAGTTAAATTAATTTCATTTAGTTACACGAAAGGAATTGACATGTGGTCACTTGGTTGCATCTTCGGTGAAATGTTACTTGGAAAACCTCTTTTTCCTGGTTCTTCAACGATCAATCAGGTAGAAAAAATTATGGTAACATTACCACCACCCACAGTAGATGGTAAGTTTTTCTCACCTTTTTACATATATGAACAATTTTCACAATTATGTATTAAGATAAATAGATACTTAAATATGTATGTAAGCTGACCGTAATTAAAGATAAATGCCTTAAATTTTATCGCAGGATTTTAATCAAAAACGGAACTTATTATTTAAAATGTTCAAAAATAGTACACCATTGTTGTAATGAGAATTATTAATAATATTAGATCGATAATTTGAAAACTGACATTAGTTCCAGATTGGTTTATAAAGATTTTGACAATATAAATTAATACAATTCGGTTTAGTAAAATTTGATTGAGTGAACTGCTACAATAGTAATGAGTATAATAATAAATAATAAACAGTATAAGAAGAATTTATTTTAACAATCAACGAACAAACGGATGGTATCGCTATTTTATATATGATTTTTTTTTTATTTCTAATTATTAAATTTATAGTGAAATAAGTAATATAATTTATTGTTTTATTTAGTTTTTTATTTAATTTTTTATTTTATTATATTTATTTAACAATAAATTTAATAATTTTAATAAATCATTTGATTGATTTATTATTTTTTGGACAAGTTATTTTATACTTAATATAATTATTAAACATTTTTTTATTTTTTACACTGGACCTTGATAATTAATTATTTTTAAAATGAATTGCAATAAATTATTGTAAATAAATACATTATATAATGAAATAATATTTTCTTGATTGCAAGGGTAGGAATTAAATCTATTAAGATATTAGAAAAAAATAAATAAGCCAAGGCATAGTTCCAGATTTATGAATAAAGGTAAAATCTAAGGGTTATATATTTAGATATATCATTTATAAATATTCGAGAAGAGAAAACAGATTAAATTTATAAAATATAATTAGAAAATATAATTATAAATTATAATTTATAATATAATTAGATAAAATATAGATAAATATATAGATAAAATACATTTTCAGGAGCATATTAAAAAAAGATAAAGTCATTATGAAATCGCTAATCTTCATTGTTTTAATACTTAATTATTTATCCCAAAAATCAATAGAAAATTATAAACAATTAACTAATCAATCGCACTAAGTTATTTAATATTGTTATTCAAGAAGAAATAAATTATTAATAGCGAATATGCAATTTATTCATTTTTTTTTATTTTGTAGTGAAATTACAAATATAAATTGTTTGTGTTGTTAAACCTAGAATAAATGTATTGAAATATTAAAATTTTTGTATTTTAAATAGAATTAGAATAGTGAACTGAAAATTATATATATATATATATATATGTATATATATATATATATATATATATATGGATTAAATGTTAAAATCGTTAATAATTTTGTTATATATACGTTATAGGACCTACATTTTTGTGACGGAAAAATATTTTTTATTATGATAGAGTAATTTTTATTATCTGTATGACTAATTTATATCTTTGGAATTTGTAGAGTATTTTTTATTATTATTATGAAATAATTATTTATATTAAGTTCAATTATGATTAAATAATTACTTATATACAGTTTTATCTATAATTTAAAAGTCTATTAATTTAACCTACATATAGCGTATTCGTGATAGCATTAATTTGTTATGACTTAAATGTTGTTTGAACTCCGGTAACCATTAATTGTTATAAAAACTTCGTTCCAATTTGCCAATATTTTTTTGGCACATATATAATACTTCATACGTATAACAGTGATGTATGGTTAACTATTTATACTATAGTATCGCTGCGAAACGTTTTAGAGAATCACCCTGGATTAAGAGTAGGAAACAATGCAAATGCATGAAGAGAAGTATAACAGAAGGGGGAAAAATATTTTATTTGAATTTGTACCTTGAACGTATCGAATATAGGTTTAATTAAATTCAATATAATAGCATCTACAACATTTTATAGTTCAGAAATTAAAATAATCTTATTTCGAAATTAAACGAATTTCAATTACTAAAGTCAATTCAAACAAATTTATAAATATTCCAATCAATTATCAAAATCTTAAATTATATCAGATCAACTCAAGTTATATAAACTTATATAAATACGTATATTAATAAAATAAAACAAATATATTATAACTTCTAAGTATTTCTGAATTTGATAGTCATATAATTTTTAATCAAATAATCAAAAATAAATTAAACTAATTTCAACTTTTATAAACTTATAAAAAAACTTTAACTTACTTAGTAGTACTTCTAGATGTAATACAAAAACAATATTTTCTTATTTTCTTACTATAAACAAATCATCAAAATTAAAACAATAATTAAAAAATATAGAATTGAAGTCTTATTATGTGTACCAAAGACGTTATAATTTATTTGTTTTATTTTATTAATATACGTATTTATATAAGTTTATATAACTTGAGTTGATCTGATATAATTTAAGATTTTGATAATTGATTGGAATATTTATAAATTTGTTTGAATTGACTTTAGTAATTGAAATTCGTTTAATTTCGAAATAAGATTATTTTAATTTCTGAACTATAAAATGTTATAGATACTATTATATTGAATTTAATTAAACCTATATTCGATACGTATTGTGTAATCAAGATTAAATAATTGTATGTGGTTACATTTTAATAATTATCTTAATAAAACTAAAAATTACTAGTTAAAATCATGATTTGCTTCAGACTTAGATTCGATAAGCGCAGGTTATGGCTCAAATTTATTACAAAAATCTCCAACAAGCCCACATAAATCATTGGAAGAACTTTTACCCTATGTATCTAAAGATGCTTTGGATCTTATTAATAATTTAATTGTTTTTAATCCAAATCGTCGTTTAACTGCCACTAACGCATTAGAACATCCATATATAGCATGGTAATGTATAAATGTTATATATAGTCAAAAAAATTATTTTTGTTTCTTATTGAAATATCTGTACTTGAACATTAATTATGTTTTTTTAACTGAAATTGTTAAAATTTAAATATTTTGTAAAAACTTTTTTAATATGTTAAAAGTATTTTATGCATTTATTATAAGGTATTAATAAATTTGTATTTTAAAAATAGGGAATTTAATTAATAATTGCAATAAAATAATTGTAGATAGATTTTTAATTAAATTAATAAATAAATCATTTTTCATTATTGAAAGTATAAGAAAATACAAATATATAAAAATACTAAAAATAAAATATCGTTCCATTTAAATTATAGATCCTGTGTAATTCCATAAGATGTATCATAAATAATATTACGTTTCAGTTTCCATACAAGAGAAAATGAGCCTGAAAGAGGTTCAAGCGTTATTCCTTTTTTAAGAGACGATGTTCAATTATCGGTTGAAGAGTACCGTAGTAAATTATACGCCATGATGGATGAAAAACATCGAAAATACAAAAATATGTGAGCGTTAAAAACTACAATTAAATTTAAATTTATTTCATTCATTAATAATATACTTTAAAAATATTTTCTATTAAATAAATTTCATTCTTTTTGTGCAAACAGAAAATCTTTTTTCAGGTCCAAATCTAGAATTAGAGGCTTATCGGAAAATATACGAAAAGATTTGTTTCCGATAGGAAAATGTAATGCAGTTACAAGAAAAAGTTTTCATCTATCGTGTGGTGATTTACCAAAAACTGAATACAAATATGATACTTACAAGACATTGTGTTTTGAAGGTAAAAAATCTATAACAGTTATATGTATATTTCCGAAAATCAATGTTTAATTATTATAAAAACAAGAAATAAAAATAAATAAAAACACACGCCATTTATAATTGCACCTTTAAATATAATAAAAAACATTTATTTTTTAAATAGATCATTTTATTAATATATATTCTAAATAATTATTTTTTATACGTTATATATTTTTGTTTTAACCTATTTTAAATAAAAGAATATATTTTATAATTAATAGCTTGTGTTACATGGATTCTAAAAGTAAATATTTAACATTCGAATAATAATTATTATAATGAATTGCTGAATATTCCGATTTTATAATCAATCTCCAATATTATTAAAACAAAAAATATTGAATTTAAAAAAATGTAATTGATCATATTTTTAATTATTTATTATAATAGTTACATATATTATAATTTATAATATTGTAATAATTATATTTTAAGCAGTACAGACTAAAGCTCAGTGAAAATTATTTTTTATTGTTTATGAATTGACAACTATTTTACAATATTACTCATAAGCAATTACAAATAAAGTACGTAAGAAATTAATTATTTTTCTGAAAAGAAAACCAATTAATATTTTTAATCATTTTATTCATAAAAATAATATTTTTTAAACTAAATTTTCATTTATAATACATTTCTATAGATAATATAGTTGTAAATAGATTCATGATTATGTATTTTAATGCAAATTAAATGTTCACAATTTATATTTATATTTATATAAATTATATTTATTTGAAAATTCTAAATAATTGATAAATTGATTAAAGCATTCAATAGTTTTTAAGTAATAAGGTATTACTTCAAATTTATGTTTTAGAAAAAATGCACCAGGCTATTTTTAATTGTAAAGTGAATAAAGGAACTCAAGTCACAAAAATGAGAATGATTGACCATATCTACTATCAGAATGGTATACATATTTTTGTATATAGTTTTTTCATACTATAAAAAATCACATAAATATAATTTTATATATTTTTTATTTCTTTTATAAAATTACAAAATTGAAGAACTGAATTTAAGAATCTTTGGAAAAAAAATATGATTTCTAAATATTTATTTAATAATAATGTGATCTTATATAGAAAATATATTAATTATTTAAAAATACTTTATATTATTATAAAAATTTACAAATATAAACTAGTTATAATTTCTATAATTTTTCAAATTAAACTGTTCCTGAAATAATTCCAAAAAGAAACAATGTTCACAGCAACTTTTGTTTTTCTTCTATTTAATATTGCTGACTTAAAAAATTTGAAAACTATGTTTGATAAAATTCAAACACTGACTGCCATAAATTAATTAATATTGTATTATTTTAAATTATATAAGTTAAGCTATTAAAACATTGAACTATTACAATTGATAAAATTATGAAAATTAAATATACATATTATTTCAGATAAATATTTGTCTGTCCCAACAACAAAACCACCATATAAAAATGTTGAGAATCAATATACGCCTGATTTTGGGAATAATAACTTTCAACGTTTTGCTTCAAGTCAAATGAAGAGTTGCCTTTATTTAAGTAAACAACAACAACTACAGCAGATATCGAGGTCACAAAGCTCAATGCAGCCAAACTTGTTAATACCAGTAACTATATTTTTTTAATCGTATTTTCTTTACTTGCAATTCACATAATTTATAATTTGTAAATTTTTTAATATGATATTGAATAAAAAATAATATATTTTTATTTAATTCCGAGATTTTTAGTGAAAATTATTTTAAATAGTTGTAAATATTTGTTTTTCTTTCACTAATAATCTTTTACGATATTTAAAATTTTTTACATAGGTTTAGATTCCGATTTTTCTTTTTAAGGTATTTATATATTTCTCATGATTGAAATTACAGATAGCTATTTGTAAAATATACAAATTTTTTAAATGTCTTTCAAAAAAAAATTAAAAAATAATGTATAATAATAATAATAATTAATAATAATTATGTACAAAATTTTATAAATAATTTTCTTAATTTAGAAATCTTGATTATTTATATAAATAATTGTTTAAATGAATGCATTTCCATATAAAAAAATAAGTTAGGTAATATGTATAAATTATATATTCTAATAGTTCTGTTTTTAAATTATTTAGAAACTTTTCTCACATTGTTTAAAAAAGTGATAAAATAATTCAAATTGCTCTAGGAAGTGTGTAAGCAGATGGTGCCACGAAATCAAATGATATGCAATTACATCGTCCATCAACATCAACAAAAACAGAAACAATAGTTTTTGAATAGTTCATTTCAGAGTCACTTCAAATTAGGTAATACTAACCTGGTAAGAAATGGGGAACAGACAAACAACAGCGAAAATAATATTAAATAAAAAAATAGACCTAGTACCAAAAGCTTAGATTATTATTATCAAAACAATGGGATTATCTCTAGACCAATATACAGAGATCTTTAAAAAAGCACCAGTGAATGGTATTAGTATTAAATATTATACTTTTTTCACAAAAATAATTTTAGTATGAAATAACTTATCCCATGTAATCAATTTTAGAATATCCTTAAATATTTGATTCTGTTTCAGTACAGTACTAATTAAAATTTTATTATATACACATATTTACATGCAAATTATGAAGCATTTTTCAAGCTTTTTGTAACTTCTTGAACAAACTTATTTAGAAATAATGTCACGTAAATTAAAAGAATCTTGTTTATTATTTATTTATATTTTTTACATAAATCATTATTGTTTATATGAAACTTGATATAAAATATACTTTATTTCATAAGAAAATCATATGAAATTTGCTTGACTTATAAAGAAATATATTTAATATGTAAATATTTATATTCAAATATTAAACTGCAAAATTATTTTTAGTCGAGCATTCTTTATATTTTTCGTTTTAGAAAAATATTTATTGTAATAGAAAATTTTTAATAATTAAATCAATAAAATAAATTGTATTTTATAAATAAATATATTATTTTAAAATTTTTTATATGATATTACAAATTCCATTCTAGTTTTCTAAGTGGTAAACGTCTTAAAATTAAATTATTAAATCTTAAACTAAATAAATTCTTAAAAGTCAAGTTTTTTAATTTATATTGAAAATTTTTAACAATTTTTTTTATTTAATACAAGCTAGATTTTTATCACGAATTAAAAACAATAGTTTAAAAAGATTCATTTCAAATTATTTTTAATATGATAATAATGTGGTAGATTTAAAGGATGATTTTTTATAATATGAATTTCAAAACTATATATTTCTGAACCAGTACAAATTTGGATAAGATCTCTGAATATTTTAAAATCGAAAAAAAATATTTTTATTTAAATGGTATTTTAAATACATTTTTATTATTTATATTTAATTTTAATTTACCTATTTTAAACAAATCAAATTAAATATTACCTTACAAAAATATGAATTAAATGTTAAATAATTGAAGTAACAAACCAAATGTAGTTCAAAATCTTATATAATATCAGAATAAAATTACAAATTGAATATACAAATATTAAATATTTCATACGAATTTAAATGACAATAATTAAAAATTGTATCTAATTAGTATCCAATAATTTAAAATATTAACATTATGTTATATTCTCAAATTTGTATTCATAGGATATTTTATATAAAGCATTTTATATCAAATAATTCAACCAAAAACCATGTTAACAGATATACAATAATTCGTGGAATATATATCAAATGATATAGATCAAAACGATATTATTTACTAATATATTATTATTTACAAATAATACATTTTTCCTTTTTTATCTATAGTCTTTTTAAAAGTTAAAAACGATGGTGGTACAATCTTTTAAATAGTAGGATATGAAAATTATAAAATTATTTAAAGTATATGCTCTTAGTAATATGCAATAATTTAAATTAAATCTAAAATTGTGAATAGGAAATACATCATACCATATCATTATTGTTTTCTCCCTTATTTCGTAAGATCTTTATGTTTATGTATCTTAAATTTGTAACACAAACTATTTAAATAAAGAGTATTAAATAGAAATTATAAAACATCAATATAATTTCTTTAATTATAACGTATATATTATTAGACCTAAATTATAACAATATATTCTTTCTGAAATAACGGTTAAATAATTATAATTATGTGAATAAATTATAAATTATATTCATTTTATCGCTGTTCTATGTAAATTAATTTAAATAATTAACATATGAAAAAAACTTTTTTAAAATATTTTATTAATATAAATAATATAATGTACTATAAATAAATTTAATTTGGATAAAATGTTCGCTTCAAAACAGTGAATGACTATTTTTTATAAAATATATTCTAATTAAAATTAAATTAATAGAATATATTACAATTAATTAAACATGTACGATATTGAAAGTACTGGATAGTACAAAATATTTAAATTTAACAATTTGTTGTGAATATTATAAAACAATATTTTATTTTACTATGTCCATTATCGAATAAATATATTCTTTCACGTACACTAATGAAATTGTATAAAACTATAAGGAAGCACAATATAATAACTTCTCTATTACTCACATTGCATTATCTAATTTAATTGATATTTATTATTACAATTTGCTTTTTAATATGGCATTAAATCTTGAAATCTAGAAGTGCCCATTGTTGTTTCATGTATTGCTGATACAATGTACAGTTCCTGTCATATTTCACTATATAATCAGATATAATCTACCCTCTGATGATTTCAGATAGAATTTCAATTTCTAAAGTCTAGGTATTGAATGTGCATCAAGTTATTAGGACGTTGCGTGTTTTTTGTACAGTGCCAATTCCGGTATCACTTGCATCTAATCACAATGTCTATAAACTTATTCATAATCTTAATTTATCCACTATTTATTATTATTAATAAATTATTATTAATTTCTTAATTTTAAAATTAAATTACAATTATATTTTATATATAATACTTAAATATTGTTGTCAAATGTGAATAAATTGAGATTTTATCTTACTCATTACTTTTTGACTTGCAATATTTCTATCCTTTGTTCTTATATTTTATTTTTTCATCTATTTTTATTAAATATTTACAACTCTTACTATGCTCTAATCAAGTTTAATCTCTTTTTTAATTTACTAATTTTTCACTTACTATGTCTTCTGGATCTATTTTATAGCCATTCGTTATTGTTTAAATGCAAATAATTAAAAATCATTTAACTGCCAGCCTAAATTCTGCTGCTTATGTATCTGTCTCAATACACGTTTATCTTAGTATGATTCAAATTTAGATGCATGACTACTCTCTGTTCCTTTTATTTTCTTTGAACACCTAGCATTTCTTCGTGACACTCAAATTTATAGACTTTATTTTATAATAAAAACTAATTTTTTTGACCAGCTTATTTATATTTTCTTTGAGAACTAAATAAATATATTTGAACAAAAAAACTGTTTACTGCTTTAAAATTTTTATTTAAATTACGATTATGTTATTAAATTAAATTAAATTTTGTTATATACATTTATCATTTATAATAAAATCATTATTTTTAGATGATTTAAAATAAATGATTCAATCCTAATAATTTATTATTTTTTCAATTGTTATTGTTTTTCTTAAAAAAGAAAAATTAACATTATTTTATGAAAATATTTTTACAAAATAAATATGGTTTTTATTAAATTTGAGACTAAATACAATAGTTTAAATTGATTTGCGTTAATACATAGATAGCCTATATTAATTTTAATATAATTTATATATATTTATCTGTATTCGAATCAGTGTATTAGAATTAATTTAAACTTATAAACAAAATTTAAATGTTTAACTACTAATATGACTCACATCATAACCAATTCTTATTATGTTCTATTATAATTATGTGTGTTAGCACATATGCCACTAAATTATTAATGTATTTTAACATATTACTGGAAGCATATCAAAATGAATTTAATACATTGTTAAAAGAAATGAATAATCAAAAATAAATTTTTAAAATTGTCATTGTTCACGAAGTATATGGTGGAACAAAAATCTGTATAAATATATAAGAGATTGATGATATTAAATTCATTTACCATCAGACATGTTACTTCCTGTACTTGTTTTATACTTAATAAGCTATAGCGTCTTATTTATTTAATGGTCTCGCCACAAAATTGGAAAAAAGGTTCACATAACTAGTTTTAAAATAAATTTTATATATTTTATAATTTTGTGCCTTAATTGACGTACCCTACAGTTTTCTTTGCAAACAATATTCTTCATGACAGTTCATATTATAATATATTCATAGAATCCTATACATAATATAATTATAAGTATCGCGAAATACTGTGAATATGATTATCATTATTGCTCACCATTGTCCATGTTTCACTCTCGTCTTTTTCTACCAACTCAATAGTGTTCTACTAAAATATGGTTTTTACAATTTTATCATTTTTTTGTAAAAGCATTATACTTTATAGCAATAATTTTTAGAATATTTTCATAATACTCTAGAATACAATATTGTATTTATATTATTAACTTATATACATGGACTTATTTAAAAACTGTATAATATAAATTAAGACACAATATAGTACATTGTATAATAAATAAAATAAAATGCAATAAATAAAATGTTTATAATATGTAATTAGTTTATTATAAAATATAACATAAGATATGAGATAATTAATTAAATAGTGAAATAAAAAATGTAGTTATGAAAGTATGAAATAAAATATAACAATTAATAAATACTGTTAAAATGTAACAATTAAGTTATTATATTTATATAAATTATTTAACAATTTGTATGCTTAAAATGTATTCTTTCTTTGAGAGAAACTTGGCTAGACCTTTAGCCATTATTTGTAATCATTTGTTTTTAACCAATAGCACTTTCTCATTGATATCGTTGAAATAAAATTTAATTTACAAAGAATTAATAATTTCTAATTATCTTTATTGATCGTTCTACAACAGCATATTATTTCGTCTAAACATATCAGTTGAAATATTAAACCTTGTTAAGTTAATGAAACTAGCAGAAAAATACAAAATAACACATAGTGTTTTAAATTACCACAAAACATTGAAAAAGTACAACGGTTAAATTACAGATATTTGTGCATGTTTTGAAATAGTGATGACGAAATGTTCAATTTTAAAAGTTAAGTATATGTAATTAATTGCATGCATGCAGTAATAAAAAGTACCTTATGTAAATATATTCTTGTCTACATTTATAACACAAAGTTATACAATTAAAGTTTTTGTTATGGTTAATTTCTTTCATCTATTTATGATGAAATGATTTGACTTATTTCTTATTATATATAATATATATTGTATGTAGATTTTTATTTAAAATAAATTGAATTATCTTGTTCACATACAATATAAAATATGTATAAACTTTACATAACTCCGTGAATATATGTATATGCATGTACGGTTATATAGATATACACGTCTCTTTCACTTTTGCTCATTTTACGATGCTCTCATTACGTTTTTCTTTTACCATCTGTTAATATATCGATCTGTTAATAATCGAATTAATTAGATTATATATATACAATAGTGTGAACAACAAATACATTTTTATGAAATGCAAACGAGACTTAAATATATTTAAAAACTTCTTTTTAATTTAAATTTACATATGTTAATCTAACTTGGACAAAATAGTTCTACTATTTTATTAGTAGTATTAAATAATGCCAATAATGTACTCAAGTAATGAATTGTTTAATATTAAATTTGTTCAAAAATTAATTCCACTAATCTGGTTCGACAACCAAACGTACATAACTAACTAAGAAACCACTAGATCTGTGGGAGAATGCGTGGGTAAGTGAGTAATTAACACATATAATTCTTACTGCTTTTTATTCCATTTAATTTCAATTGGTAATGATGATTTATTATAAAAGGATAGGTTATAATCTATTACTGGTTGAGAGGTTATGATCGTTGTTGTGCTCTGAACGAACACTATAATTCTTGTTTGTGTCGTAACTTAACACGTGTTGCAGTTACCTCTGAATAATGGGCCGTGTGAGTGAGCACGTGCCTAAAATAGAGGTCAGAGGAAATGTGTGCCACTGTATGGCGCGAATTGCTTGTCTTGCGTAGTGAGCATGCGCGGGAAGCTTCTGTGGTCGGATAACTTGCTGTCCGTTTTCAGAGTAAAACCGTGAGGTGAAGAATCAGCACTAGTGGTAAGGACTTACTTGAAGTTGTAGTGTGATGCTCCCAGTTCCTCCTCACAGGCTTGGCTTGATGAGAAGTTCCCATCCAATAATTGCTGCTCTTAAATTCTTTCTTGTCTCCTTTGCTGAGATGACAAGAATTTCAGTACATATGCTATCAGAGCTTGAAACTAGAGTTAACTGAATATTGAATCACAGTCATAGAAAGATAGTTTAAAAGACTCAACTGATCGACTTTTTTCTGGTCCTCCTTCATGAGAATAAGTCGTGACTTATTTGTGAATAAGAATAAGTGGTGGTACATTGCATTGTCCTTCATAAATAGTTCACTGCCCCGGTTTCACTTGGGATCCCTTCTTCTTTCCGGTATCCAATCAGATTTTGACTTTGGGCAGCATGATGGATCATGCACGCCTTCATTTCCACTTCCTTGCGGGCTTAATCTTGAATATGCTAGCCGAAAGAGTCGGAAAGGGAAGAGCTTTTACTGTTGGTCGTCTCTCCCTTCTCTGGGACTTGGCTAGATAAAGGGTCCTCTAGGGTGTGGTCGATTCTCTAACGCAATCGACAAGATGCGGCGTAGTTAGGAACAATGCAAGCATTGTCTTAAGAAGCAGAGTGCGCATATATGGCTATTGCTTGTTGTTGCACGTGCGGGGTTTTGGATTGCAGTGAAATTTAAGAAATGTTTGTACTTGATAGTTTACGTATATCTGATACTCTTTCAGAATCTACGTCTTCTTGGCAGTAAACAACAAAATAGTTTAACTGCACCGGAAAAGCATGAGCACGTTTTTAGATAAGCGAGAATAAATAATCTAACTATTCACGGGTGTTTTCCAGATGTATTGACCGTCTCGAGTGTCCAACGACCGTGAGAAGTCGTGGCAATAAACTTTTCTCGCAATCTCGAACAGAATTGTTAATAATAAGAAAAATTTAATATTCACTACTTGATATATAAAAAAAATATTACTAAAATAAAACAATATAATAATATCTTAAAATCTGTGAGATAATGATATAGAATATATTTAATACGAACTGAAATATCTATTCATTTTAGCATATTACTTAATATTGAAAATCATAATTTGCTTAGTGATTTTAAACGTAAATTTAGATGTAAACCAAGGGTATTATAAATTTAAATTTAACATACCCAACCTAAAATTCTCTTTCAAATATTTTTTCTTCGTAAAATGTTTTTCAACTTTGTTAAAAAAGAAAATGAAACTAAAAAGAAATATATAATATGTTTATTGAAAAATATATAATTTTATTATAGGTTTTTAAAAATAAAGATTTTCTATTGTTATAGAGGTTAAATATAATTAAAGGTTATTAAAGGTTATTAAACTTAAAGGTTATTAATAAAAAATTTTTCATTAATAATATTATTTAATAATACTTATGGGCATTATAATTGGAATAAAAATCTTTAAATTACTACTTAATATAATCAGATATAGCAGTTTTTATTAATTTTTCTTCACGCTGATTGCTGAGAATGTTGATTCATTGATTGATAGGAATGAAAGAATTCAATTCTATTATTATATTGATCCGAAGTCACTTTTTCTTGTGTCGTATTACTCAATTTTCTTTCTCAGATAACCTTTGGAACACTTTTTCACTTATTGTTTTTCTATAGAAAAATAAAAATATTTTGTTAATTATTATAATATAATGTTATAGTATTATAGAAATTATTTTCAAATTTTGAAACAAATAAATATATACATAAAATTTGTTCATCACTATCTTGTTTAATTATAAATAACAATTATGTAATAAATTGAAATTTTAATTAAACATGTTTAAATAAATTAAGAATTTATAAGGATACGAGAATATTCAATAAGTAATTAACAAATGTATAAAAAATATTTTAAGAATTAAAAAAGATCTGTCCAAGTGTGATAAAATATTAATATTTTGTATATATTCATATATGTAAATCGAAGCAATACAGGAAATATTTTATGTGCTTATATTTAATAAATTAACGTCATTATTTTGATAAAGCTCTAAATTTTTCTAAAGTAAAAATATAATATACTCTTTTTAGAATTTCGTAATGAAAAATAAAGCAGTGGCAAACATTACTTACTTTGCGATGAGCTTGGCGTTTTATAAAACAATACGTACTTTTACAATAATTTTAGAGATGTTCCTCCGAAAATTTCGAGACATACAACAATATACAATGGGATTGACAGCACTATTTATATGACCGAGTAAAAGGCTGTAGGACAACACCTCTGATACGAGGATGCTTTCATCTGAAGTATAATATGTATAAATATGTTGACCAATAATTATAGAAAGTACATAGAATTTGATTAATCCAAGTATTAATTTGGCAAGACTAACAAAATTATTTGTATTTGTTATTTCTCTATTACTATTTTTTAACTTTTTATTTATATATATGTTTTGCTAATTCTTTTACGTTTAAACGATTAATTATATAATTTACTTAATTAATTCTTACATTTCAGTATTTACATAAAACTGGTAATTATTCTATATATATGTTACTAAATACTAAAAAATATATTAACAAGTAACGTAACTCATCATTATAGCTTTAATTAAATAGGTGTTATTTTTATATGAAATAATTATCTACTACCTATTATTGTTTATAAATATCTGCTTCATCAAACTATTTTTCCTGAATTACGAATAAATTAATTTTTTAAAAGATAATGAATTGCTTTAATGCAAAAGAAACATAATACAATTTTTCAAACTCTGTATATTACAATTGTATTGTTGTTCGGGATTGATGCAGTCCCAGGAATTTCAAACAATAGAAAGGTCATACGCGCTGGCCGGTGTACCGCGTATGCGCCTAGACTGACCCGCACGTGCGGACCGAGGCGGGTACTCGAGCAAAATATTTACAAACAAAACTCGGCAAGTCCGAGCAAGTTTACGATCTGAAATATAATTTACTGCCAGTCCTCAAAAAAAAGGGACGCCTCCGAAACTTCTAGAAGCTTCGTTTTCTCACGCCAAAATAAATTTTCTGAAGGGACGCGCATCGACACTGTTGCCGGCGCTGCAGACGCCGCATGCACATTTAAACGCAACACGCCATGAGGCGACGCTCATGTAATATCACTTCGCGCTCACCCAAGCGTAACTGCCGCTCAGTGTATAGTATACCGTGTAGACGACGCGTGGCCATATAATCGGCATCATAGTTAAGAATACACGCGTGCATAAGAAAAGTAAATCGGCAGTTTTAAAATCGTGATTACAGTGAAGCCAATGAAATAGTAATCAAAGGAAACATTAATTAAACAGCAATCAACAGACTTTACCAACACTTTACAAGGTACCTATTTTTATATTAATAAATAAACTAGTCACATCTGGCACAAGAAACCTGGGCAATTTCGCATCCCCTGACGTAGTCGACAGGTGATAGACACTTGGTCGTGCATTCTCTGAAATAAACAACAAGTGATTAGCACGTGGTCGCGCATTCTTTAAATAGTCAACTAAATCACGCAACAAGTCAAGGCCAGACTTCAGTATATCGACTGATCAACAATAAGGACATTTTCCAGAAATCCTTAAGATTTCTAAGGTTTATAATAAATGATACTTGTGTGTGACTAGCTCTTCTACCGTTCCCATAAATAAATAAAGATACAATTGATTACTTAATATATTCCATTAAACATCTGACACCACATCAAGTATAACCATTCATCAATCAAGCATACTTGATTCTACCACCATCATCCCATGCTGCCTCACAAGCATGATTGACTGACGACATCAGCTGACATTAACAACACCAGCATAACCTCAAAGCAATACAGTTATATCCATAGAATCCTTTATAGCATAAGAATACAAGAACACATCATTTGACACTTCAATAGAATTATTTATCTCTACACAACAGTGCAATATTATTATAATTGTTTACAATAATAAACCTTGTTTTAATAAATATATTATATTTTTAAGCCTTGTCTGTTATTGTTTCCTTTAATATTATCCTGCCGAGAGACTAATCCACTGAACTATTGAATTGGCAGTTCGAGCCATAAACTAACCCTTTAAAATCGAACATTTGGTCCTTCGAGCCGGATTGTCTCATCGTCAGATAATAAATTAAAGGAATCGAGCAGACGAACAAGGCCCATATTGCCATACTAAATCTGCCAGGCTAATAGAAAGCAATACATCCAGAGGGATATCCTATTTCATTACACGAATCAGCAAAGAAAGACATTAAATACAGGATGGAAGCCAAAAGAGCAGGAACTTCAAACGCAAAGAGAGCCACCTCCCTTCGAAGCTCAACGTCTACTCGATCAAAATCTAAAATTACGGTAAAAATGAATGCTCAAACTGAACGTATAAAAATATTACAGGGTCTTGCTGAGAAGTATGCAGTGCCAGACCCTGATATCACGGTAGAAGAACTGTCAGATGCTTATTCACTTGCCGAAGAAATTCACAAGACCTTCAATAAGGAAAATGCATATATAGAAACGATCTGGCCCACTGCGCAAGACAGTGAAGACAGCATTCCTACCGATATGTTATCAACCGAAGCATCCCAATTTGTAACGACACGAGGAATTATCAGCAGACTTCGCCAAAAATTCAAGGTTGGGTGCAATGAGGAACAGCCCACACTGCATCCCATAAGAACATCCGGAAGTCGACTACCGACGATTAAATTACCCAAATTCAGTGGAAAGCAAGAAGACTGGGACGCATTCAGTGACCTCTTCGAGGCACTTGTTTTAAAAAGCAAAGAAATTAGTGAAGTGGAAAAGCTACACTACCTATTTACTTCAGTCGACGAATCAGTTCTACCCTGTATAAGGGGATACGCGCTCACTAAAGAATCCCTAATGCCTGCATGGGAAACACTAACAGAACAGTTCATAAACCCACACCAATCAATCCGTACCTGTTTTCTCAAAATCTTTCCTCGTGTAAAACCAGTAAAGGGTGATGCAGAGGGTTTGAAAGATCTTGCCAAAAGATCACAAGAGGCAGTAAAACAATTCCTTTCGCTGAACATACTACCAGATTTGTGGAATTACATTCTCGTACACCAAATCTCATTATACTTTGACCGTACTACAGTTGAGTTATGGGAAGCTGCGCTAGGAACATCCACAGCCTACCCTCGTCTAGATCAACTAAGGACCTTCCTCACCACGAGGGTGAGATCCCTTGAACAAGGCGAACGGGTGACAGCAACTCCTGCATGTCCATGGAAATCTCCATCAACGCGGACTCAACAGACGAAACCGTCTTATTCATCAAGGAAGCCCTTCAACTGTTATCAAGTATGTGCGAAAAAACCTCTATCAAACTATCCCACATCGCATTATAAGAATAGATGGTGCGCATACTGCGACAAAAGGCACACTATATATCACACTATTGAACACTATTGACACACTATTGAATTTGCAGTTCGAGCCATAAACTAACCCTTTAAAATCGAACAATTGTGAATATATTAAAAGCCAAAACAAATAAAACTAACTTTATTTTAAAAGTAAAATAATATGTAATCAGCTGAAATTTTTTTAATTGGTCGTGTTTTTGCTAAAACATTTAAAAAATATACTTACAAACAATTTCAAGGTCAATTAATAATCGAAGTAAATTATATGGTAGCCAACAAAGAGCAAAAAGAATAGCGAGTAATAATAAAATCCAAGCGACGCGTTTTCTTTCTCGAACAAGTCTAAATCCCTGTATAATATTAAAAAGAAAAAGTATTTATAAAAAATATTGTTGTGTCATATTTAAAAAATTTAGTAAATATTTATGTATAAATAATAAATATGAATATATCTATTATATTAATTACATTTTTCGGATTTTATCTGCTCCTATTTTTTATAGACTAGTATATAATAGTTATTTGATTGCAAAGTAGGAAATAGAAAAATAAAAATAGACTAAAGAAAATGAAGAAATACGAAGAAATAAACATTTTATTAAATTGACAGATAACTATTGATGAGATACATTAAATCTGTATAAAAATTTTGTAGAAATTGTATAGTGTATGTATATAATTGTTACTCTAATATATTTACTAATATCCATAATTTAAAAGGATCGATAATATTAGTTGGCAATGTGGATTCAGCATAATACTTGAAACTTATTGATATTATACATTCTTTTTTACTCATTTACCAACACATTTACTAATTTATTTAGATCTATGCATTTTTTAACTGGATATCGAAGCATTAACGCTCTCCAAATTTATTGCCAGATTCATAACTTTTAATATTGTTGATTTCAATGTTAAGCAATTTAAAATTAAGGTTTAATTAATTCACAATTTTATGAACATGAAAATGCAAAATATAATAGATATTCTATGCTATGATATTAAACTGAAATTTCTTCTTAGTATTTAAAGCATGATAAGTACTATATGATAATAATTTGTTCTAATAAGTAGTTTTAAAACACTAAAAACCGAGGAAAACATTAAGGATGATCAATGAAAGCATCAAAGGTAAACTAATAATGATAATTAATAAATGCATATGTCTAATAGGAAATAATGTATACATACTACTTTTTAAAAAAGATTTCAGAATTGAGTGGATCCAATATAATGCAATACAATTGAGTTCTTATAGTATTAAAGAGTAATTTTTTAAAAAATGGTTGTAAAAAATATGTAATTTTAAGAAACATATATTCAATCGATAAACCCATAAATTATGATGTAAACCAAAATTATTACATTATTTTTTTTATAATACTAATCCATAAAGCATGCGTTCAAAGTATGTTAATGAATATTCTGCTAATTCAACGAGAATGAAAATCAAACTTTAACTTTAAATACAAAAATACAAGATAAAATTTTTTTTAACCAACTGTATAAGCTAAAACTACTGAGTAATATCCATTTACAGCTTCTATTATAATATATATTAATTAGTCTTAAATTAAACTTGATTTTAATTGTACTATCTTCGTTTATAAAATAATGATCTAGTAATTGACAGTGTAATAAAATTTTCCAGTTTGGTTATAATACCAATAATATAGTAAGTTTATATGTTCATAGCTAGAATTTTATTACAAAAACTTTTTTTTTAAACAAAAATAAATTCTTTTTAAATTTGAGAACTTATAATCTTATATTGACAAAATATTGATGAATGATTAAAAGTATTTTATAAAAACATAAAAATATGTTCGTGGTTTGTATCGTTTACGTCATTATTCCACTAATAAACTTTTATTCTTAATATTTATTAATAATCATAATGTTTCTATATATTAATATTGCATTATATATAAATAAATCTTTTTTAAATTAAATATTTCGAATGACTTATGATAAGACATGTTACCTGTTCAGAACTTGCATTCTTTTTTATACTATCATAATCAAAAGGTGGTTTTCTGACGCAAAGGATTTTGCCCATCATAGAATATGTTGCTATTACAATGAAACCTGAAATCAAAGTCTTATCTTATTGAAATATCCTCCCAACTGTAAAAAAATATTCATAAAAGCATATATGCAGGAGGAATCTGATTTATTAATATCGCCATAAAAAGTATTCAGTCAAAGAATTTTTATTATTTAGTTTTAGAAATAGTTTTTTAAAAATAGTAAATCTATTTAATTATAAGATAACAGATTAAAGAATTAAATATAATAGATGAAAATATTATAGCTAGAATAAATTACCATGTTTAAAATTAATATATATTTATCATGAATATTTTGTAATAATATATACAAAATTTTAATATATATATATATATATATATAATAAATTAGTATTTAAATTAACCAATGAAAATAAAATGTTATTTACCAATAAAACAATGAAATGATTATTTAAGAAAATGAAACAATTTCTTATAATTTAAAAAAATATTGAAAAAAAATAAGATGTGTATAATCTATACCTGGGATAGCATAAACGAATACGAAGCAAGCAGTACCAAATATGTGGACATGAATATCATGAGATTTAAAGTCCTCTGAACATATATAGAAAATCGGAAGTTTCGGAATTTTTAAACTGTTGATTCCTTTCCATTGACCAGTTAAAGTAATATTATCTAAATGTATTATTGGACTTTGTAGAGTAACCTGTATTACAATAAATAGACAAATTAAAATTTTAAATATTAACAAACTTTTATAATACATTATATAATATTTAATTAATATTTTAAACTGAAGAATATATCGTTAACATTTTCCCTAAAATTTATCGATTATTTATTAATATTAATTATATAAAAAATAATTGATTATTTAACATTATTAAGAATTAAAATTATTTTAAGTTTTCAGAAAATTGTCTAGAAAAAACAACTTTTTAAATATTTTAAATCAACGAAAGATATAGGCATTTCCAAGATAGTATTCAAGTAGGGCACAAATAGTTGTTCGAGATTTTGAGAATCTTTCGAATGCTATAATTTCGGGGAAAAAACCCAACGGCTGTCATGTCGGAGAAAAACTGCAACGGTTATAATTTCTGTAAAATTTTCCAACGGTCGTTGGAGGTCTGGAAAATCAAGTGCACAATTGCATCCACTGTTCTAAGCACTACAATCGGCTCCTTATTATCAGCTAACAAAGCTGCCGCGTGTATATTTAAGGTAAGTACACCACGAGATAGGCGCTAATCAGCCATGAGCGAGTCACCCAATATTTTTTCATACCTTTCTCATACTAGGAGCCAAAGCACGTACTGTCAGCAGAGTAGCTACGGAAGGTACACTCATCAGCTTTATACTAAATATAGTCTCATACATAGTACTGTTGCAGGTCTTTGTCACCAGTCCATACCACAAGATAGCTTGGAGGAGACCAACAATGAAGTTACCACCACGTGGCACTAGACGAAGAAATGTCAAGAGATTTACGACCTCTCACTTCCCAGTGTAGTACACCACCAAGTGTACTGAATCAGGAGGATTCAAAGACTTACGACCTCTTACCTCTACAAGTAGTGCATGCTGACACCACGTGACAACAACCAAGAAACGGCAAGATCTCACCGATTCTCATCGTCAACGTAGAATCATTATAATGTAGTTGTAAAATAAACGAAATACCAAGCACGAAAAGCAGATGCGTTAAATACTGAATTGAGTCTCTACCTCTTCCACTTGCCCATATATTCCCCCCACCACGCAACTGTTGGTCATAATCTAATTGTAAACAGGTATGTAGTAAAACTTGTATAAATACCTACATAATGCGAATTTTATAAATCTTGATTCAAGAGTTTTACCGTCTGTTCAATAAATCATATGGGAATGACATGGGTACCGAAATTAAATCCCTTTAGTGCAAACATTTACTCTCTTCTTTTTGTTTCTTTCTTGTCTATTTGTATGTATATTATGTATTTTTATATGTATAAGCTTTTTTAAACGTATATTCGCTTTTACTCATGTACTATATTTGATGGATTTCTCTAATTGTCTGAGATCAGACTAAAAAAACTTCCGGTGATGTTCGATGGGGGGATTACTGGCAAGTGGAAAAGAAAGGCACATTAATTCAATTTCAACACACAGTGTATATTGGGTTTTCTCTTTATTGACGGACTATAATGAATATGATTCTAAGGTGGTGCTGGAATCTGTGAAATCTTTTCAGTATTTTTCACGTGGTGATGGTATTTATTACCCGCAGCAGTATGAGGTTATAAATATCTGGTTCTTGAGTAGTGCACGTGTTGGTGACAATCTGCCCTTGTAGTCGTGAAGTATGTTTTAACTATGGCCGTTCGCGGGACCTTGGCGAACTAATTTCCGTCCCTTGTGGCCGTGGTGCATGTTTCAACTGTGGCCGGTCGCGGAGCCTCCTTGTAATATCCCTGCCCTTGTAGCCGTGGTGTATGTTTCAATTATGGCCGTTCGCAGGACCTTCGCGAACTGTCAAATACTTAGACAGGATGTCGCTCTACCGCCTTTAATATGTTTTTCCTTTTAGTTTATTTTTATTACATAATTTTGTGATGAAGTGTAGGTGGTGCGCTTCTATTTTGACCTCTGAATCACACTTACCACTGGTGTCTGCTTGAATATAGCGCACTTAAATTATTATAATTTCTTATGGCTTCGCTGTTAGCTTATTACATTATTATTTCAGAGTTTGGCAGAATTATATACTGTTCGGGATTGAAGCAGTTGAAAACGGTATTCAAAATTGGGCGAGGTTATCTCCCGGACATTTATGTTTGTAAACGCGATTTAGCGAATTCAGGAAATTTCCTACGACGAAAATTCGAATATACGATTATATTTCCGAATAGCAATGCCGATGGACCTTCCAAGCCTATATCCTATAGACGTTGCAACAAATTTCGACATAGCAACAGGCAGCGGTGCGCTGCCGGCGTCGTAAGCTTATACGAGAATATTTAAGAGTAGCGCTTGATGCGCAGCGCACTGTGCTAGTAATAATTACGCAGTCACCAGGACGGGCTCACTATTTCTATCTTCAAGCATTTATATTACAGTTATCACTCACTGTAGCTATACAAGTAATCAATCATCAAATAACAAGCAATCTAATAAACCAATAGTGACGCCACAACGATCAGAATCAGTTAAACTTATATTCAAGAAGCGCTAGTGCAGACATAAATTAAGAGTGAAATTAATGAAACTATAACTACAACATACATCAGCGGATCACACCGACGGCTAAAGCAGCATCAACTCATTCGAACCTTTAGTGCGCGCAGCTACAACAGCGACACTTCTCATGAAAGGACGGATTCACGCCTCACACTACTGAGAGTGCACACACTCTCGTCAGCACGTAAAATAATTGGAGAAACTTCATACATAAGTCACTCATACTCTCCATTCATACGATTCTATACCATTAACTATTATTATATTATTGTATTTAATAAAGAAAAGACCAAGATATACTGTGTGTAGAATTGATTAATTGCATTTGCCTTCTCCACTTCCCAGCAACACCTCCACCCAACATCACCGGGAGGTTTTCAGTCTGATCCCAGACATGTACGTATATTATAGTAATTATAATATAACATTACTGGTATGTGGCGGAGTGAATAACTAATAAATGATTGATTGAGAAATGCTAATGATGCGATGACAGATGCGAACGATTGGTAAAAATGCAGTGAACAGTAACTGATAACTGAATGATTGATAAAGATACAGTGAGCACCGACGTGTGGCGAGCTGCTTTTAAATATTAGCGTGGCAGCTTGCATCGCTGTTAGCAGTGCTTGGGCTTGTTGATAGGCAGAAAGTCTTTATGATGTCAGAGCGAGGCTACAGACTTCTAGAAGTCTAGAAGGACACTGCATTGGAAGGTTGCAGAATTTTCAATTTCAGTAGAAAATAAATTTTTGTTTTACCTTGAAAATAACCAATTGTAAAGATAAGGATGATATTTCAATCATAGTATAATTATTATTTTAGAATAAATCGAAAAAGAGAAATTGATTAATAATATTTTTCTTCTAGTAACATTGTCTACACTGAAGCTTTGCTTGTGGTAAGACTCTTTAAAGGCTTTAAGTATCCTTTTTATTCAGGGTTACTACGCGAAACACATCATCTGATGCAACAGCGAGACTACTCCGTTCTTTTCAAAACAAAATCATTTTTAAAACCAATTTTTTAATTTTTAAATAATTATTTATATCGTTAATTCTTTAGCATATTCATATTTATTTAAATCTAGGTATAATTAATCTATGATATATATAAAAGCATTTTTTATAAAACTTTATATTAAATTGAAGCAGCAATATTGGTTACTCCAGTAATAAAAGCCATAAGACTTAAATTAAACGTCGAACAATAACAGGTGGTCTACAAAACTTCCAATCAATTTATGTATTCTATATATTAAAATTATATAATAATAATAACACTACTTTTTAAACTGTAATTTTTACATTAAAAAATAATTAAATGTATTTTAACAATGTTGTAAAAATAAATATGTTTTTGAATTTCTATGAAACTTTGGTTGTTAATAAATTGTTTAATAATTCAACTTAAATAATAACAAAAATAGTAAGTTTAGATTTAGTAAATGCATACTAACCACTTTTAAAATAGGAAAAAATATAATTAAAGCAATTGTCCACAATGTTGCTATTATAATTATAGTAATTTTTCGATTAAATACCCTTCTGAGGGTAATAGAACTCTTTACTGCTAAGTATCTGTCTACACTCATTGCTGTAATAGTAAATACCGAGACTGCTACTGCTACACCTGTGAAATAAAATCTATATAAATCACACAAATGATTTAAGAAAAATAATTGTTAAATAATCGTTATTTAGTTATAAATATTATATATACATTATTAATATTATTCACTTATGGAATTAAATAATTAAATTTATTGAAATAAAGTTAAACATACCAATAAGTCTAATCTATATTACCAAATTAATAGTTAGAATCAGAATATCATTCAAAACATTCAAATATAAATAATTAAAATATTTATATATGTATTATTAAAAAAATGCACGATTAAATAATTCTGAGGCATTAAATTTGACGGTAAACATTTTTTAATATTTACTTTTCGTACATTTAGAAGTTAGAATTTATATTAATTTTTTTATTTATTTTCTTTAACTCAAATGTGTAATGTATCATTTATAATTAACGAATGTAAATTGGATAACTAGAGCATGCTAAAATATATAAAAGTATTAGATATAATAAGATTATACACATTTTTTTCCCACAGAATTACAAGACTAACAGATTTGCAAAACTAGTATAAAATGAAAACGGTTTTAATATGGGTGATTCATACTAATTTTTATTCGTATTTTATTGTAATTTAATAGTAGATTTTATTTATTAATTACATTATTAAGTAGAGTTCTAGTTGAAGAGTATACAACTGAATAAATTTAATGTAAATTCAACATTAATTAATAGATAAAAATTTTAATTACTTTGTATACATACATTAATTCATTTAATCGATTAAATTTTTAAACTGTTTACATCAGAATTCTTCAAATATTAGAAATTCAGTGTATTAGGAAAAAAAATTACCAAGCTTTATTATTTATTTAATATTATTGCAATTTAGAAATAAGTAAAAATATTAATATTTACAGTGCAAATAATATTTATCTTATCAAGTATAAAGATTTCAAAAATTAATAAACGGACATTTAAAATTGTACATAAAATTAAATATAATGCTTAATTAATTGTTATAAATGTTTGTTATTAATTTCTGATGAGCATAAAAGGTATTATATATTATTTAGTTTTAAACTTAGATAATATTGGTATTAGGGCTAATAGAATACTTATAGGCGTATACTATGATACATGTATGAATAAACACATTACTGCATTTAAAAAGTGGAACAATAAAATTAAATAATCAGTGGAATCATTAGATAATATTTAAAAAATAATTTATATTACGTATGATTTAAATATTTTACAGTTATATTTAGCTCTTCGTTTCATTTGCTTGTTTTGTATTTAGAAAATGTAATTTAAAAAAAAATAATTCAGCATAAAACCATGCCAGACTCGGAGAAAAGAGCGTCAACCATCTCCACTGAAGCGGATGTCCACAGAACTTGCAGCATCAATCCAACATTGCAAACCAACAAGTTCATGCACAAATCTAAGTCGCAATGCAGTCGCATTACAGTGATGAAGAAAACCGGGGAAAGGCTCCCAATTCCCCCGGAGACAATCTCCTATGAAGAAATCGAAGGCGCAAGAAAAAGAATCGACGAGCTTCACAACCTTCTTGGCGTGCATCCCTGTTATCTTACGAATACTATGCAGGGGATGCATCAGGAGAGGAACTCACGATTTACCATGAAATACATGAAGCAATTGATAAACTGCACCGGCATATAACAGAGCCAACTCAAACCACATTCGGGACGTCGAAACTACTCACTGACAGCTTGTCTATGATGAAGGAATAGAACAACAACAGGCCCAGTGAGGTGAAAAATTACAATATGTTAGAAATTTACTAAAAGAAAAATCATTAAAAACGATTGAGAGAATCCCTATTACAAATGGCTCCCTTGCAACAGCGTGGAACAGCCTAGTAGAAAAGTATGAGGATCCAAGAGTATACATCGAATCACAGCTAAATTAACTACTGGCCAATACATCACGCATAGAAGATGAAGACGATGCAATAGAGGACTTCGCTCGTGATACAAGTGATTTACTGACAAGATTGCGGCAGCTAAAACTAGAGGAAGACAAGTGGGATTGCATTATGATTCATCAAGTAACGCAGAGATTCACTCAACGTACTAGAGAACAATGGGAGAAATCATTAGGGAGATCTATCAATTATCCCAAGTATGAACAACTCTATGTGTTCGATTTTAAAGGTTTAGTTTATGGCTCGAACTACCAATTCAATAGTTCAGTGGATTAATCTCTCGGCAGCATTACTTCAAGGGAAATAATAATTGACAAGACTGAAAAATATCGTGTATTTAGTAAAACAATGTTTATTAATGTAAATAATTATAACAATATTGCACTTTGATGTAGAGAGAAATAATTCTATTGAAGTAGTGAGGGTGTATTCTTGTATTCTTGAATTAATGCACTGACTAATAATTAACACATGTCTTTATTATTTCTGTTTATTTGAATTGATTTACAACAGGGTGAATTACAGACGAACTTTATATTTCTTGATAATCTTGTGGTGTTGAAATATATTTACTATGAATGAAGCAGGTTATAATCTATTGAATATTATCGCTAAGAGGTTATCATGATTGTAGTGCTCTGATCGAACACTGGAATGCTATTGTGTTTATCTTAACACGTGTGTAGTTGCCTTTAAATATCGGTCGTAAGAGAGCCGAAATGGAGGTTATGTGAAGCTGTGCGCCATCTGTGGCGGAAACAACTTATAGTTGGAGGGATTGAGAAGCCAATGTGGCGTTTATAGCTGGTCTTGTTCAAGAGTATGTCCGGGAAGCTTCCGTAGTTGGACTTTATCCGTCCGTCTTCTACATAAGCCGAGAAATCAAGAATGAGTACTAGCTGTAAGGACTTACTTGCAGTGTATCGTGATTTTCCAGTCTCTCTTCGGTAGCTTGTTATGACATTCCCTTGCAATGTTGCAACTCTCTAGTTCTTCCTTGTCCCCAAGTGAGATTACAAGTGGTCAGGTCCTATGCAATCCAGTCTTGATGAGATCAATTCAACTGTACACTAATTCACAATCGTAGAAAGAACTTCTTATTAAAACTCAGCTAGCTAAACGACTCATCTCTCCGGTCCTCCTCCGTGAGAGTAGGTCGTGACTTATCCTTCAACTGTAAGAAGTATTTGGAAAGAGTAAGTGAGGGTACATTACGTAGTCCCTTCTTAAATGGTTCACTGATCCCGCTCCACTTGGGATCCCTTCTTCCTTTATTAATTAACCAATCAGTAGTTGATCTTGGGTCGCACAATAGATTATGCAAATTTTCATTTCCACTT